TACCCTGACGACGCACTGGATATTGCTCCTTTTGGAGTTCGTGCGATGCCGTCAGTTGTTGTGTGTTACCTTTATTTGCCTTCTTAATCGAGATACTGTTGCCTACATTTGTTAAAGAGAGGCGAAAGATACCAAAGGGACATTCAAACTCAAAGTCGAAAATAAACTGACAATGCCATGGCTAAAAAAAGAAGACAAACAGACAAACAACAGTACACAAAATAACATAGAAAACACCAAAGATTAAGCAACACGAACCCCACCAAAAACTGGGGGTGATCGCAGGTGCTCCCGAAGGGTAAGCAGATCCTGCTTCACATGGAGAACCCGTCGTGTTGCTCATGCAAGTACAAACCCGGTGATATGTGTAATTCGGTAGGTCACATTCAAAGTTGGGTTTTCCCGTATGAATTGCTTCACATTTTGTCATGTCAGGACCTTTTATATGTCACTATATGGTACGGATTTCGTTTATTGTTAAAGGCCGTCCAGTGACCTGTAGCTACTGTTGCCTATATTTATCATAGATGGTTTTTTCCCGTTTGAATTGCCTCATATCTGGTCATGTTGGGGCATTTCATACGTTACTATATGGTATGGGTTTCGTTTATTGTTGAAGGCCGTCCCGACCTGTAGTTGCTTACATCCACGTCACTTTGGCAATTATAACACGTATCTGATTTTTATATTGAACTCTTAGTTGTTTAAAAAAAATATTGCATTAATGCTTCTAACTACCTTCTTATAACAGGCTAAACGTGTCTTTAAATTAATTTTTAAAAAAATGCACCTTACATAAAATCTTTTTAATGGTTATTTCTCTGAATACGGTAAATTCTTCATCTAAAAAAATAATACAATATGTTTAACTTGATATAAAACACTTTAAAAAGAATAATAACAAATCAATGGCACAAAAAGGAAATGAATACCAATAAAAACACACCTACATAAAACCTCGTTTATACAGTTAGGTACTTTTAAATAAAAAAAAACATGTACAGCAATACTTTAAATGAGTACAGAAAATATCTAGCGCGCATTATCATTTTTTAGAATTTCAAGTTATTTGAATTTAAATTCATATATGGAAACCAAGGGGAAAAACTCTAGGGAATCGCATGAAATTCAAATCTATCAAGATTAAGTGTGAAAAAGGCGTAAACAAGACTCATTCAAATATGTCACGACAAAAATTAGGATACATTCGGTAAATTTTCAGATCCGACGAATATCATGGTGCCTTGTGCTCTTAAAACTCGTCAAAGATACAAGATCTATTATAATAAGTTAATGTACGCCATATCCCCATTTTGTCTGCATAAGACTAATCAGTGGCGATCGAATCATAGCAGATTGAAGGCCAAATCAAATACGAAGACCGCGAGAACACGTCTCTCAGGGAGTTGGTCCGAGGACACAGTTATCGGCCTTTCATTTTCGTTGTCCCTAGTGTGGACAGTGTATAACTTGCAATTTTTTTTTAATTTGAACTTATTGTCTTAAAGAAATGCACTTCGAAATAACTGTATTCTCGGACCAGTAAGACACATACAAATCTTAGTGATCAATCAATTCGTAAAGGCAAACGTTAGACTAAAGACGTGTCTATTTCATCCGTTCTTTCTCATATTCCTCCTTTTTTTGTAAGGTACACACCATTGTAAATGAAGTCCTTACAATTTATTAGTTTTGGTTTAGATATGTTAAACTAAAACTAGTAACAGAAGATATGTTACTATTAAAAAAAAATACGATTGGAAAACTGAACTGAGGTCATCGATCCTGCTTTAAAGTGGCCATTTCATTCAATTTTTCAAGTAAAGATTCGTTTAGGAAGAAGAGCTTCTAGGTTCGGTTTTTGCCTTAATGTGAAATTGACATGGATAGTATTATAAATGAGATACAAATACTCTCTTCAGAATCAGTAGAATGGTGATGATAATTGATCAATTTTTGACCTCTGAAATTCGTATAAAATGACGGATTACAAATCAAACGAATAACATCCTTAAGATGTTAAAAAAAAGTCTGTCAAATATCAGTAATGATATACATCATTTACTTTGTGTTTGAAATATTTCCGGAATGTCTTCAAACAGGCCCAGAACACTACCATGTATGGAAATAAGATCACAAAGATCAATTGTCTATAAATTCTCCATGTTTCAATTGGTATTCAATCATTATTTAATGAGTATAGAAAAATAATGAGGGTATACAATAAATTGTTCAGGATTACAAATAACTGTGAAAGTATTTGTATTCATGGGTATCGATGTTCGTGGTTTGAGCAAAATTTACATGTTCGTTGGTTCTTTATAAAATCGTGGATTTTAGTTTTCTGAAGAAAAAAAATCGAGTATAGAATTTGAAGCCACCAGAAACGAAAATTTTGGAAAATGATCTTATGTTGTTTTCTCTGTAAAAATAAATAAAAAGACAAAAAGAATGGGTTTTTTTTTTGCCATGGTTTTAAAACTGAAAACATGGGAAATGATAAGAAAAATGTTTAAAAAAACAGCGGTGTAGGTAACTGCGTGAGAGAAGAAAAATCAGATCAATTTCAATCGAAAGTTATCGAAAATTGTTTCCGGTCTTCTTGTAAACAAAGGACAAGTAGTGTTTGGTTATTGTTGAAAGCCGTGAGGTGACATATAGTTGCTAACAACTACGTCAATTTGTTTCTAGTGGATGGTTGTCTAATTGGCAAACATACCACATCTCCTTATTTTATATTTTCACAATAAAAATCGGATAGAAAATCGGTTATCATTTTTTCTTGTTCACGTTTTGCAATCTATAAAACATCTGATGCTTGACACAAGAAGAAGCTTTCTGAACGCTTTTGAATAATAACCTGTCCTTTACAATTTAGCACAACAAAAACCTTTACAATGATTCATGTTTACAAATATAGTTTTTTTTTACAATAATAATACAAAGGAGACATGATAATCATTGTCTAACAGAAGTGCATCAAAATTGTCATTTCGGACTTGACAATTCTCCCTTTCAAGTTGATATTTCTCAGCTCCAAGTTGTGACATTTCTCAGTTCCAAGTTTAGAAATTTGAAGTTGGAACAGAGAAATGTCAACTTAGTGCTGGGAAATGTCAATTTGGAACTGAGAAAATTCAACTTAAAACTGAGAAATTTCAACTCGGAACTGGGAAATTTCAACTTCAAACTGAGAAATGTCAACTTAGAACTGAGAAATGTGAACTTGAAAGTGAGAAACGTCGAGTTGGAAATAAGAAATGTTAAGATAGAATTCGTAGATTTTACATGTTTTATTATTCTATTTCATATCATTAACATGAACAAAATATGCATTTAATGCAGTACGTTCATGTTTGAAAAAAGACAGGAAAAATAAGCGTTTCATAAGAACTTCATTAAATCCGAGATCAAATTATGCTATAGGTCTGGACTGTAGAGTTATTTACGCCAATTATACAAAATCGTCGGTGACCTTTTTTCTAGTTAATAGTCATTATTTACTTCAACTGTGATTTTATAGTACATGATATTTATGAAAGCTGTTATTGTTACTCATTTGGGTCAAAATATATGACGAGTTGATCGTCCGTAGAATAAGGGGATTTAAACATGGCGTGTGAGTGCAAGCTAACTCCAGAAAGAGTTATTAATATCACCAAGTCGTTTCCTTTTATTGTCTTTATATTATGTGTTTATATTCTCATTGGTGCCGCTATTTATCTACGTATTGGAGATCCATATGGAGTCCACCAGGAAAATGGAGATTCAAAGGTGACGAGTACGCGGAGTAGTAACAATAACTCAGGAAATGAGTTTCAAAATCAGTATGAGGATGAGGACTATAATCCATGGCATTACTGGGAATCTCTATTCTTCTGTGTCACAACGCTTACAACGATAGGTATGTCTATTTTCATTTTGTTGGTCTGCATGCAGTCCGTAGGTTGTTTGTTACAATTTCTACCTCTACCCCACATTCCCTTATTCCCAAATGTCTGTACAAATTTTCTGCTTTTAATAACGATCGATGAAACTGTTAGAAAATGCCGATTGAATTGATTTAAATTTGTTTTTGTCCCCAAAATGCATGAGATATTTTCCACTGGACGAAAATCAATCAACAATCTATGAATCAATCTATTCGGCGAATGCTGCAATTGCATTATTCCTAACGTTATCGCACACATTTCCTATTATGATAAATTTCTTTCATTTTAACTGTTGTGATAATGTTCAAACTAAAAGGCACAAAATATTATAAAGTTTGTGTCAATAAAAATATTTTGATAAAAAAAAAAAAAAAAAATCTTGCAAATTCATATTATTTTTTTCGTTAACCATTTGTATATCATACATTTTATTTCAATTTAAAAAATATATATATATTCAATTGTAGGTTATGGCCATATTACTCCAATTACAGCTGGAGGAAAGATTTTTGTTATGGTTTATTCATCAGTAGGAATACCACTTACTATGGTTGTCATAGCCGGAATTGGTAAAAGACTTGCTGCCTTTGTCAGTTTCATGTTTCTTACGATACAAAATCGATGGCAGTCACGCCATCTCAGATACGGACATGTCACACAAAAAGGGGACAAAATTAATTTGAATCTTGATGCTGAAAATGTTGAAACTGGTTCAAATATGAAAATAGAGCAGACAGAATTTCATTGTTCCATAATCCCTTTTTTGGCATCGATAGCGATTTTATTTGTTTACATTTTGATAGGAGGAGCTATTTATTCCTCATGGGAACACATGACCTACATGGATGCTGTATATTTGGTGTTTATATCGCTAAGTACCATTGGATTTGGCGACATAATACCACCAGACGATAAATATTACATCGGCTCGTGTATTTATATACCTATAGGCTTGCTACTGGTATCAATGTGTGTCAATGCTGGACTTCAGTACAGTAATATGCGACCTCACATCGAAAGAAAGGGAAATACTGAAAGTACTGAAATTTTGTAAAATGAGATAATATAAAGAATTCCCTTTGTACGTTCAGACGTTCTGTGTATTCTGTTAGCTATGGAGCATGGTACATGTAGCATGGTACATGTAGCATTATACTATTGTGTATGAATATTTCCAAAATTTCTTTCACTCGAATCTTGATGTAATATGTGCTGCATTTAAAGCTGATATTACTATACAGATAAAAACACATATAAATCACTCAGCGTGTAATTAATTTCTGCGAATTTGAAAAATTCTATCTTCTCTATTGTATAATTTTTAATAGCTTCATACAAGGATTTGTATAATCCTTATCACTATATGAATCCTTGGCTTCATGTGACTAGTATAATATTCATTATCACCATATTTAGCACTTGTTTAGTGTCTCCAACATAGAAATTGATTTTAGCATAATACAAATGCGTATTTATAGATGTTTTGCGTTATCTTTTTATTGAAAATGTCGCAATGCTTGGATCTATAGAAATTATTAAATGTCTATACATAGAAAAGACATATTAAATGTCCCAACAGTCTTTTCATATTTAATGTCAATATAAATAACATATGTGAAATCAACCGCGTACTTGTTATTTGACAATAATCCGGTGTGAATGTAAAATGTGTGAAGAAAAATGTCACATTGTTTTTACACAAGTGGCTAATATAGAGACAAAATTCCTTTTGTGATAAACGGATTGAAATTGTTTCATTTCCCTTACACGGATTATGTAATACGCGGTAATTTTGCTATATACGAGCTACAATGGCTGAAGGATTTTGTTCAAAAGTAACTGCCATACTACGAAAACTTTACAAAGGTTTGAAATCTTTGACTGGTTTGATAATTTTATTGGTGCTTTACAATATAATTGGAGCCGTAATATTTGTTGAGTTAGAAGCGCCGTATGAAAAGAAAATGGTAATCAAAGAAAAACCAGAGCACAAGGAACTTATTCGGCTCTTAACAAACGTAGCGGTGGCGTTAAACAGCTCCGAGTTTGAAATACTAAGAAATAAAACTTTTGATCTGATAAATCAATATGACATTGAAGCTGTGGAAGGTAAATCTGAGGGAACGTGGGATTTCTGGAAAGCTTTGTTTTTCTGTGCAACTATCTACACAACGATAGGTATGTATAACATTCTTTCAGAGCATACACGTAAGGTTGTATAGTAAAATGTCTTGTCAAATCAACCGCCCACAGGGAAAATATCAAATGTACCGATGAATAATTACTACACCATTTAAAATCTTGTTTCCACCTATGCATAAAATGCTTGAATGATATTTCAAGTATCAGGTCAACTAGTGTAAGTGACATCTGTCCCACACGTATTTTTATAAATACAATATACAGCAACATGTTTTTGTTTATATATGAAAGTAAAATTACAAGTGATTTTGTGTATATTTTATCACACACACATATATTGATATGAAAAGAAAATGCATACTTTATTTGTTTCTTATAATTTTCCAAAAAACTGGAATGATCATTCTAGGATTGTCTATGGATAGCTTTTGAAAATTTTTCGTTAAAAAATGCGAATGTTAAGCTTTCCGTTACACTATTGAATCGCAATTGTCCCGCCGTACACATTGTATATACACCATAAAGGAGAAGTTCAAGCGAGATTTTAACACTAATATCATTTTTGTAATATTTGCTCTGCGAGTTTTACAATCTAAGAGGTATGACCAAATGCCCTATAAATGAAATCAGACAGGCAAAACTTAGAAGTTGTTAAACTCTCTTGAGTGTGAATATTAGAGTGCACGAGAGAGTCTAAATCTGTACAGAAAAAAGAGTTTTCAAGTATTTAAAATATTTTCGTAATGTGATTTTTTTAGTAATCGCTAAACATTGCTGTTGAAACAACTTTTTATACAAATATGCATGTGCTTTTTAATTTGTATCTTAAAAGAAAATTGATCAGAGCTTGGCTGTTCATTTTATGTAAAATATATAAATACTCATTTTTTTTGCAAAATCCATGAAAACTGCAGTTTTGAGCCATCTTTAGGTATATATTCAGAATTTGACGTGATGTTGTCAGAAGCTCATGTACAAAAATGTTAATATGAGTAAGGATCAAAGACTTCTCTGGTGTGAGATAAATTCAAGGGAAATTGGATGTAATGCCGAAAAAAATACCAGCATATTAAAAAAAAACGTAAATGATTTGCCTCGTCTTTCAAATGTTCTCCACTCGATGTATTTGATTTAAATTAATTTCCGAATAGGTCAAAATATATATATATATATATATATATATAGATGTAGTTGTATTATCTTTCATATTTCGTTTTAATTGATTTCCTGTTTACTTACATATCCAGTTTATGAATTATTAAATACTTCACCTGATAATCCATAACGCTCATATTCCTTTACTTTAAGCAACATGAAACTGCATATTATATCAATAAAAGACAATTACATGACTGTTTTCTGTTATATAAAGAATTTTTTATACTATCATTTCAGGATATGGAAACATCTATCCAAAAACTGATGCTGGAAAGGTTGCTGCTATATTTTATGCAGTATTCGGAATACCACTCGCCATGAAAGTTTTAGCTGTACTTGGAAAAAAGTTGATGATAATTCTTAAGTTTTTCTATTTGCTCGTGAAAAGATGTTTCAAATGCAAAGGCCGAAATAATAACAGATACACCGTTCGAGATAAACAAACAAATAACGTTGATTCCGTCGAACTATCAGAAATAGACAAAAGTGATATAAAAATAGAACAAGGAAATAAGGAAGAAAGAATAAAAAAAGAAATTGAAAATAAACTTCCAATAGCGGTTCCAATAATAATTCTAATCATTTATATTTTCCTTGGAGCCATAATGTATACGTTGTGGGAAGACTGGGGCTATCTAGATGCGTTTTACTTCGTTTTTATATCAGTAAGCACTATCGGCTTTGGAGACATTACACCAGTGCATACAAAGTTCTTTATAGTGTCTTCTATTTATGTTTTTATAGGTTTGGCATTGGTATCAATGTGTATTAATGTTTTAATTGACTTTTACATAATGTCCATTAAACTAGCAGTTCATCAAATGGATGTCGTAAAATCAACCGTAAAGAAGGGATGTCGTTGTGGAAGCAGACGACAAAGTATATGAATTTAGACCTACAACTTAAAGTGATTTTGTTTTAATGTTTTAATTACTCAAAGTGAAATAGATTGGACATAAGTTAGTGTCGCTGAGAAGGTAGTTAACATAGGCACATTGTCATCGTTTTTATTCCGGACCTTTTTTCCGCAGTTACCAAATGCTTTTAACATGAACATTGCAGTTACACGGCGGTAAACGAAAGTAAATTGCACTTTTTTACCTGTTGCTTTTTTACGTTAGCTTAGTATTGAATTAAATGCCGTTATATGGAATATGTGTAATGGACATAGAAAATCGTATATCTTGTACAAAAAAAAAAAAAACTTGTGAAAAATTGTACAAAAATGTGCAGTGTCATAGTATGAATTAGACCTTAGGAAAATGTGTAAAATGTCGTAGTGTAAGTCAATGAGTAGGAAAATGTGGAAAGTATAACTCATCAACTGTGTATGAAGGAGTATTTGCAGAATGTCAATGTATAAACAAATGACTTTGGGAAATGTGAAGTATTGTCATATTTTGTGAATATTTTTCTAGAATACAATGCTACCAAAATATTCCTAAATTTTATTAATCTGGCTGTTTATGTGACAGGACATAGTTTAAACAAGAAATTTGTCTACTTTCATTACATCTCAAATGTTAGTCAGTTAGTCTGATAAGTGTTTAACCTTTCGCAGCAGTTGTAATCTGTGAAAAAATGGTGTTATTACAATAGAGATAAAACATATATACATGACGATAAATATAATTCCAGACTAATATGATTGCGATAATGTACTTGACACAAATAAACAAGACTATATTCAAGCCTGAACCTGCAATTCTAAATAGGTAATATAGCAGAACGTGAGTTTCAAACAGTTTTTAAGAACGAAAAATTATTGAAACAAACATCACTTAATTTTGATTTCCTTCTGCTATCATAATATCACAATAAATAAATAATTTGTATTGTGTGTATCGAATATTTGAATTTTCAAATGTGTACGCCTTAATGCAGAAGCATCCTTTTCTAGTGAATTCGAAAATTACTGATATCTATGGTTTTTATAGTTTTGGATTTTTTTTTAGAGAGTCGGATGGGTATAGGGGTTAGAAATTAGTCAATCAATAGAAATCTCATGACAATACACAACAAAATTAAGGAAAAACAAACATTAAGACATATATGTAATATATTAAGGTGGTACCTAACACTACAGGGAGATAACTCTGTAAAAATCAGCTAAACGTTTTAATTACGTTGTATTGTTAAGGAAATATTAAGCTTCTCAATGATCAAAATTAGTGTTTGTCAAACTGCTATATAACCAATGAAATTTTTCTGATAAAGTTGTTGGTTCAATTTTTTTGAAATTTTTATATTTTTGTCAAAGGGTCAAAGTAAACATTTTGTCAAATTTTTATGAAAATTAAACGAGCCAGATTAATATTAGTCAAGGTGTTGGGTACCACCTTAAGTTGTGTTCAAAGCCTTATGAATTCCAGTAATGATATGAAACAATGAGATTTGGTATGACTGTCATCGTGTGCAAAACCAATCCCTTATGGTAAGCAATAAATGGCCCCTGGATAGAAAAAGGTGAAACAGTTAAAACGACCTAACAGTCAAATTTAAGGGAATAACATTTAAATGAAAATCATTATGACAGTTTGCAACCAACAACAACCACTGGACTACAGACATACAAACGAATGTGGCATGATGGAATATGGTAGTGAGCAACCTAGTGCACTACTTTTTTGCTCTGTCAGATTAAGAGTAATGCATGTGAAATCAAGTCAAATAAATTGCGTATATGGAATTCTGATTCAAATTATATACAAACTGTTTTGCACTTGATTTGATATGAATGATTATTTGAAAGATCAATTTACATCTTACAGGAAATATTATGTCATGGACAAATCATACTGACAGTAATGCCCTTAATTTTACATGGATTATAATTTAGTTTAATGGAATCTGATAATTCCTCATTTTCTAAATCAACAAGTTATTTATTTAAATCCTACTTAACATAGCACGCACTCATTTTAAGTGCATAAAAAGCGTGTATAAGTATCAATTGATCTTGCTCTTACATAATTGTTTGAAATAGCAAAGGGGAGTAATTATAGTTGATAGTGTGATGACATTTTTATTTTTATTTTCTCGCTGACCCGAGAGATGTAACAATCGTAATTGTCTGATGATTGCATCACATATTAAACAAGTCCCTTGATGTCCTTAAACATTTAATGTCAATATCTAAAGCGTACATTAATGTAGAAAACCATCACTTAATATGGTCGTTTAATCGTATAAATCCTGTGCAAATGGCAAAAGGGGAAAGCACTATTCATTGTGTGGCTGTTTGCGGGAACATTGTCCTTGAATAATAATGTACTCAAAACAAAACGAGACAACGTATATTTTCAGTTGATATTGACATAAAGATAAAATACTATATGCTCATTTGACATAAAACTGTCAAGAACATGCAAAATGGCAAAAGGATTTGGTTCAAAAGCTAAAAGCGTGATAGGGAAATTTTACCACGGTTTAAAATCTTTGACTGGTTTGATAATTTTACTGATGGTATACAGTTTCACTGGAGCCGTTATATTTGTTCTCGTCGAGACACCGCATCAAGAAGAACTGGCATTAGCAAAAGAACCAAAGCACAAGAACCTGGTTCAACTGTTATTGAACTTGACAGTGTCTCTGAATAGTACTGAGTTTGAAAAAGTTAGAAATGAAATTATAACTCTAATAAACATATTTGATGCTGAAACCTTTGAAAAAATGCACGGAAAGAGATGGGATTTTTGGAAAGCATTGTTTTTCTGTGGAACTATTTATACAGCAATAGGTATGTATTATTTCATAGCATGAGCGTAGCGTATTGAAACCTGAGTTTTTTTCCGTATAAGGATATAAAATATATGAGTATGAAACTGTAAAAATATTTCATTTCATCGTTTCTTAGTTCATGTAAGGCACAAATACATGTTTGTGACTGGTAATAAAAAAAATGCACAATAACCCTTTGTTTATCGTATAAAACCAACAAAAAACGAAAAGGTTTCCATGCGCACGATCTCTGTGTTAAATCTCATCCGTATACACTCATGACCAAAAGTATATACGTAGAATTCATACTCAGCCTGTCCGAAATGCGTATAACATATACGGATAAGCAAACGATTTTATCAAAGACTTCTCCACTCTGATTATAACTTGCTATTTTCATATAGATCGTTACCACACTATTTTCAAATAGCTCTTACAGTTCCCGAACCAGAAAAGTCGAAAGAAAACAAAGATATTAGAACAGTGTCTAAATTTTATTAATTTTGTATCTGACTTTTGAATTATGTCGAGAACCAATTTATCTTGGAGTCATTTCATACTGTACCAGCGACACACATTTTGACACATCAGACAGACTAGTTTTAAAGAAGAATGCAGAAAATAAAGGTCTTAATTATTGTCAGAACAAATATAATTATATTAATTGCATGTATAATATATATGATTGACTGATTTATCAATTGTTGTAACAGTGGCAAATATTTTTATGCATATTTAGGACGAGAATAGATAACTCTGTTGAGTGGGTCGACTAGGATAAAGTATGGGCATTTCGAATTTCCCTGGAAAATGAGGATAAAATTATGTTGGATAGGGGAAAATACTCGCCGTTTATTGGTTAAATAGTTGTTGCAATGGTTATTTAACGTTCAGGGAGTGTGGCACTCTCTCTCTACACAGGGATTTAATTTCCTCATTCTGACCGAACGTGGCTGTGTATTTAAACATCCCGCGCATCAAAATGAACGCCGATCTTTTGCACTGATTTTATTGGCGGGTAGTCGAAGTCCCGGAATGACCATATGTCTATACCCAAGTTTACCCCTAGGTTTTTTTAGAAATATAAAATATTTACTGAAGAAAGGAAGAATATGATTTTCATATCAAACCTCTTATATTTACAGGTTATGGCGATATTTACCCTAGAACTGATGCAGGAAAAGTTTTTGCAATATTATATGCAATATTTGGAATTCCTCTCGCTTTCAGAGTTTTAGCAGAAATTGGTAAAAAGTTAACAACAATCATCAAATTCTTTTATTTTGGTGTAAAAAGATCTTGTGCTAAGAAGGTACAAACCGCGGATGGAGAAACCTTAAAAAATGAAAGAAATGATGTTGCCCTTCCCACCGAACATACTGAAAAAGAAAAAAATGAAATAGAAATTGTTTGGGAAGATAAGGATGAAACATTAAAAAAGGAAATAGAAAATAGTCTTCCTTTAGCTGTGCCAGTTATTATTTTATTCGTTTACCTTGTTCTCGGAGCATTTATGTACACACGTTGGGAAGATTGGGGCTATCTAGATGCTTTTTATTTTACTTTCATTTCCGTGAGTACGATTGGCTTTGGTGATATTACCCCAGCACATACGAAATATTTTATAGTGACATCCATTTATGTTTTTGTTGGTTTAGCATTGGTATCCGTATGTATTAACGTCTTTATGGAATTTTATATTGTTTCCATAAAAGTGGCTGCACATCGAATGAACAGAGTCGGTTCCAAGATAATAAAAGGATGCCATTGTTGTAGCAGACGACAAAGTTTGTAATTACTGACAATTAGTCAAAGATGTAGACATACGAAGAAGTTTTACTTTGAATTTTCGAAATACTAAGGATTTTCTACACCAGGAATAGACTACCTTAGCTGTATTTGACAAAACCTTGTTGATGCCCTCAATGCTCTTAGACTTCGTTCTTTGTTTGGCCTTTTTAATTTTTTTGTTTAGCGTCACTGATGAGTCTTTTGAAGACGAAACGCGCGTCTGACGTACAAAATTTTAATCCTGGCATCTATTCTGACATCGGACTCGGACGTCTTTTAAACTGAGTTTTACTGTGCGTATTGCTGTGTGTTTGTATATTCTACATTGACTAGAGGTATAAGGGGGGGGGGGGGGGGGTTGAGATCTCACAAACATGTTTAACCCCGCCGCATTTTTGCGTCTGTCCCAAGTCAGGAGCCTCTGGCCTTTGTTAGTCTTATATGTTTTTTTTAATTTTAGTTCATTTATAAGTTTTGAAATTTAGTGTGTCGCCCCTTTTCATTGAACTAGTACACATTTTTTGTTTAGGGGCCAGCTGAAGCCCGCCTCTGGGTGTGGGATTTTCTCGCTGTGTTGAAGACCCATTGGTGGCCTTCGGCTGTTTTCTGTTCTTTGGTCGGGTTGTTGTCTCTTTGACACATTCCCCATTTCCATTCTCAATTTTATCTATGATTAGTTTTTTATTTAAAGTCAGTACACATAAATACAAATAATACATGGTCTGTAGAAAAGTCAGTTAATACTTCAATACAAAATATATATTGTCATATGAACATTATGATTGGAAGCTGGCCTTTTGCATGTAAATGAAAAACACTTTGTGTCATTTTAGAATGACAAATTATGTAAATTTTGTCTCTGATTTCATTTTCTACATTTAATACAAATTAAACAGAATGAACTAAACAACATCAAACGATGTTTGCTCTTCTATTCAGACTAGTTTGGTACGATGCTCAGAAACATCATCGTTATATGACTAATCATATTTTTGGTTCCGACCTTTCATTATCAGTGTTGTTAACTCACCAGGTACATGTTTCATATATATATTTGTGTAGCACTGCTGGTGGATCGTTAATCCCAAAACACACTGCCAATTCATTGCTATAATTGTCCCAATTCATATTATAGTTATTGATTGTCTATTTTCAAATGTCTCGTGTTAATTTTTTCCATGTTTTTGGCTTCCGATACTGTTGTAATCGAGTGTAACCGTAGAAGGTTAATCATCATGTGGCCTGATCTGAATGTTATGTTGACAATACACAAGTACAGGCAATTAGATGAGTAACATAACAATAAACATTTAGTTTGGAGAATTCGATGGGTATTTTTTTCAAATAGACTATTTGTTATTCTATGAATTAAATATATACCAATACTTGATCATATTTCTGTTAAGAATTATTTCATCACATTCTCCTTTATCTCAGCTTCCATCAAACAGTTATTGAAATTGCTTTTTGCATAATGCTTTATTAAAAATGTATGCATTGCACATCGATCATACTTAAAGACACAATAAAATCAGGAAAATGTCCTCTTTAATTTTATTTGAATCGATGATTAACAGTGTGCTGCTGGGGAAAAATTGGTAATCACAAAATCACAATTTTTCTCCGGTGGTAATCAAATGATAAAGAAATATTCATTCCATTTACATTACTCAGCCCAAAGTATGTTTTCTTTATTTTGGGTCTGCTTGCTGGTGGATTGGATTGTCGAAGTAAAACAACCAAAAGTTTCAAAAAATATTTAGAAATTCAAGAAATTGGTATTCTAAAGGAACATTTGAACCTTGGTAATGTGTTTGCCTTTAATCAATTATGTTTTGGATATAAAAAGACAATTTAAATTTAATCTTAAGTCACTGAATGGTTATTTTTTTTTTCTTTGAGTGAATCTGCCTTTTATGATTAAATTTATACTGCTGAGTAATGTGTTATGACAACAATATTTATATGTTGTTAGCAGTGGCGGATTTAGGGGGCCCAGGGGGCCCCGCTCCCCCCCCCTCCCCCCCCCCCCCTTTTGTGGGAAAAATTTGGTTGATTATATTGGGAATCACTGAAGCATGACTGGAGCGGGCCCCCTCTTAGGCAGTCAGTGGGCCCCACTTATGAAATTTTCTGAATCCGCCACTGGTTAGAGCCACTACTGACAAAATATCTATTTAACTTACTTTGGAATTCATTCTGCCGATTGTTATTGAGTGGTCCTTAGAAAGATTTCTCTCATTCTTCCATCAAACGTGTCTTAACTAGTTAGCAAGACAACAGTCACTTGCGAAGCAGGATATGTAAATTCTCCCAGAATTAACAAGCTTTTTATGACTCGGTTTTGTCTAAACTATAATGCTGTCTTTTATTTATTTGTGAACCTGTGTTTGTTTATGTATTGGCTTTGCACGATCCTCCGATTTTCATTATTTTTGTATTTATCTGATCTGATCCAGTTTGATGGTATTTCAATGAGACTATTCGTTCTTTAAAATAAATCAACTTATGCATCTAACAAAACTTGTCTGTACTCTGGATCTTTTGTATTCATGTAAAAACAAAAAGGCAGATGAAATCATGGGGACATTCAAACTTTTAAGTCGAAAGGAAACTGACAATGACATGGCAAAGAAACGAACGACAACGAAAAGCAAACAAACAAACAAATTAACGCCTTTGGGTGCGGGATTTTCTCGCTGTGTTGAAACCCATTGGTGGCCTTCGGCTGTTGTCTGCTCTTTGGTCGGGTTGTTGTCTCTTTGACACATTCCCCATTTCCATTCTCAATCTTATAAACAAACAAATACTTTATTTGTCAATCACGGCGCCCAAAATGAGCAGAACAAGTACAAAATAATTTTTCAAACATAATATAAAAGTAAATTGAAAATAGGTTAAAAATGGTATATAACTTGATTAGTTTTGATTTAATTGATTTAATAGAAAAGTAAATGAAATAAGTACTTTGTAATAATTAAAATATATAATATGACCCATTGTTTGTTATTCTGGGCCCTTTACTGGACAGCACACCTCATAGTATAATCATTATTAATTAAATGTAAATAACGACTAACGTAAATGCATATATGATCATATATATCTATAACTCTATATAAAGTAATCTAATTTAATATTGTATTTCTGTTATTTAAAACCTCTAATAATTGACAAATTATTGTCAATATGTTTTTATCTTCATTTCCCATCGACCAAATAGATAGAGATTTGTTATCAAGTTTTGAAATATTTTTATTTTTACAAAATATTTTGTAAAGAATGGGATTTCTATTATCTAGTTTTACATTAAAGTACCACATTACCATACAAAAACTAAAGAATGGATATTACAAACCCCACCAAAAAATGGGTTTGTCTCTGACTTCAGGGGGTATTTTTTGTGCTTCGTGCCAATCTGAAGAGTACGCTCAATCCCTCCACATTCTTTGTAGGCCTGTTCCAAATCAGGGCCTTTAATTTAGTGGTTGTCGTTTGTTTGCTGTATGTCATTTATTTTTCGTTTAATGTTTTGTCATAAATCATGCTGTTGGTTGTTCTCGTTTGAACTTTTAACCAATTTGCCTTGTCAGTGCATTGTATAGCTGACTTTACGGTATATGTTTTGCTCGTTGTTGAAGGTCGTGCGGTGATCTATATATATATAGCCGCTTACGTCCATTTCATTTGCACTCTAGTGGATAGCTGTTTTTTTGGCAATCGTACCACGTCTCCTTGTTTTTGTATTATTTTTTTTGATTGCCTTCTAGGCTGTAAGTTGACATTCGCAGATTTTCAAGGATATTGAACTTTTGAAACCTACAATCCAAGATTTTATAATCTAAAGCACTGCGGTTAATAAATTGTACACCAAAACGTTGCAATTGGCTAACATGGCACTAAACAATAGGTTATTACCCTACTGCGTACCATTATTTTTTATTTGGTGTACAAAAACGAAATTACCCATAGTCCTTCGGGGCTTTGAAAAGATAAATGTTAATCGTTTGTTTCTGAATGCTCAAGCTCTAGTTAATACCGATTTATTTTCTTATTTTTCACTACATACAGATCGGGGTAAATTTACGAATATACAATATTGATTATTGGACCTATAAAAGCAATGACAAGTTAGGTTATTTAATTGTTGTACCAATTATATCGGAAGAAATATCATAGAATGCATGATGAATACACAATAAATACGTCCTGACATATGTCGTCAGCGATGGCCTTGTGATGTCATAATTTTGCGTTTTGGTTGACAAGACTTTGGAAAGCATTGGGACAGCTTAGTAATAAACATTTATCACGTGTGAGAATCAACATAATTCTTGTAATGTTGTTTACTTCACCAATATCAACCTTTCTATATAATTTTGTTTTTGTGCTATGATGTACAAATTGTTTTCTAAAAAATATGATTTAAATCTGCAAAAAAATGGATTAGCATCTTGTATGATATCCGCAGGCTGACATTTCGAAATGAAAATCTTTTAAATAAAAATGTTTGTTTTAAAACTCTTTTTTAAGTAAAAGTTATAACCAAACAGTAATAAAAAACACTGTAGGCCTGAACCAAAGAATGTTCGCAGTTACTGAAAGCACCCGTAAAGGAATGAACACCATTTTGTCCTACGCTATAGAGATTAATCAAAAAAAAAACCAGACTCAACGATTTTATTGTAAAATTTGTACTCGGGTTTTTATTATTTTTTTGTGTCATCTGTTTATGACCTGTTCAAATACATTTATTTGTAGAATTCTTTTAGTTATGTCGCTTTTGTACTGTCTGGTCTGAACTAAAATTAAGAAATGTTTACCTGATAAAATGTCGTCAGTCTTTTTATTTTTATTTGTATTAAGTGATCTTCAGAAATAGCTAAAAGGAAAAAACAAATACCTTAACTGTGAGATGTGGTCGAGGAATAAGTCTTCCCTGTCAGTCTGTAAATCAATGGATACAAGGGTTAAAAAAACTCATCAAAATTACCAATAGCAAAGTATGAATGTATGTTACAATATGTTGGTAGATGCTGTGTTTAATTTATGTATTTTTTCAAAAGTTTTTGTGTGTTAAGCATAATACTTTGTTTAATTTTGTTGATGTTTTGCTTCTAATATAGACTTTAATACTCTAATTGACATTCTGCATTTGTATCATGCTTTTTGTGTAGTCCTAAATATGAATCCCGACAGATCCCGAAAAATCACTAAAATAAGAAAAGTGCATCTTATGCTAATGCCAAACACTATTTCCGTGTGAACATTCACACAAGGAGCAAAGTAAACAAACCACAACACCAGATCAAACAGGATAAGTTCACATAGTATGAATATCATTCATCACA